GGTAGGGTTTGGGGGGCTGTGGAGCTTCTGAGATTAAGATTCCAAAGGGTCCACTAGGAAGTACTTTTAATATTACTCTTAATCATGCCTAGTATAGAACACCCTCAAAGCCAGTAAATGGAACAATAGTCAATAAAGGCAAATGTTGGCTGTATTTGATAAAAGTGTTCATACTAGTTCTCCTTAATGGATTGAGCATCCAAGTGTGGATGAAAACATAAACTTGGTCCTGATCCACAGGATGCTCTAGGCCAGAGGAGATAGGCTGAAGGAAGGCAGGAGCAGGCTCTAATCTGAACCTAAATTTCTTTCACTCACTTTCATGGCCCACTGTCTCCACTTCCTTTCATGCCCCAGATGTGTCTATTTGCCTCACTTATATGTGGCTCCATCGTATTTATCCCATCTTTCTCTTCCCAGGGGAAGCTCTGTGGTTCTGGTCTCCTCAGTTATGGCATATGTACCAGCAGCTGTAAGTATAACCTTCCATGACGCTACATGAAAACGAAGGAAACAGCCCCATTAGCCAAGAAAAGTGGAGAGGTCCAGGAAGATTCCAAATAGGCCATTGCTGGTGGGGCACACCTACACCCACATTTGATCAATGGGTGTCTCAGACCCTCCTTCTCCAGAAAGGACACACATGGCAGGCTTTTACCCTTTCTTTGTGAGATTCTCAATTATCTCTGCATTGCTGAAGAGATATATTTATACGCACAGGTCTGGGATCCAATAAAAACTCTCTTCTCAGTTACTTATTTGCCATCCACTTCCCTTTGTGTTCACAGAGGCTAGGGGCCTACAATGTCAGTAAAGCAGCCATTCTGGGACTCACCAAGACCCTGTCATTGGAGCTGGCACCAAAGGATATCCGGGTGAACTGCCTAGTTCCAGGAGTAATTGACACAGACTTCAGCAAAGTGGTAAGGACCAAAGGCAACTTCTGCTTCTGCCCCACTGAGTGCCAGGGTCCCTTCCCCTACCAGGCCACGTCCCAGAGACACCTGGCCCTGTGGCCTCTTGTTCTGATGCTCTGGTCCACCACCTTTGGGATCAGCGGCAGAATCAGGATTGTAGTCCTCTGTGAGGGACGAGCCCAGAGTGTCCCCCAGAAGCCCCTTCACAAAGGTGTTTATGGGGTGGTGCCATTGTGATTCTACCTGGATGAGCTGCACTAACATTTTGACTTTTTCTTTAGACGTTTGAAGATCCAGACTTTTGGAACCATTTGAAGGGATGCCATGGAATACAGAGGTAGGTTGTGCATGAGGCAGTGTCCTTTGTAGATCTGGGTTAATGTAACTTCAGAC